GATGGAACGAATCTGGGTCGTCCGTGCGCGCGAGAATGTATTTGGATCGTCCGATCACGGGTACACGGATCCTCCGCATGGCCTCATGCGTGGCACTATGTCAGCGTCCTTCATCACGCGGCGTGCTCCGGTTCGTTGGAGCTGTTGACTGGGCGTTCCATGTGGCATAATTTTTTTTTAAATTGTATTTTGATCTATAATTTTTGAATTTTCTTTAAAAAATGCTTTCAGAACTCAAATTTTTACTAATTTTTTCTAAAATTATTTTTAATTTCATCATCTATCTAATTTTCTCCAATTTTACATTAAATAATAATTAAAAAAAGAGTATAAAATTAAATTATATATATTAATTTGAATATTACAATTTAAATTCTGATAAGACAAAAGGTGTATATATGCATGTAGACCCAATAATGAACATGACTGAGAAGTTTTCTTTAATTTGGTTTGTCTCTATTATTTTCTTATATGGTTTGTGTCCTTGTGGCATAACTACTTTATACGAACATTATTTTCACACTAAATTTTGTTTTAACTTATTTTATTATTATCATCGTTTAATTCACATTTCTTATAATAAAATTCATTAAATTATATTTCAAAATTTAACGTATATTAAAATTTAATTTTTAATTTAATTTTGTTATAATTCATTTCAAGTGTCCAATTTCCTTTTATTTTGATAGAAGAAAATTAAAATAATAAAATATTATTTAGGCACTTAAAAATAATTTTAATTAATTAATTAAATTAATAAAAACAAAATATAGGTAAAGTTTAATATTTGTAAGATTATATGAATCCTTATAGGTAACAGAAAAGTCACATGCTGCAATTAAAATAAGTTTTATAAACAAATTATAGTGTTCTGGTCCCTATACCTACCGTGATATTTTCATATTAAGGCATTGTTATGTTATACTTTAAAAATAATAATATAGATAATGAAATTTAGTAGATAATATGTAATAGTTAAAAAAAATTGTATTTTTTTTTTTGTAGTTGGAAGAGATATTAAATCTACCTCAATTTCTTAAATTAAAACATATATATATTATTTTACCTTAAAGAAAACGAGAATTATGAGAAAAATTATTGAAATTTGTTCATTTAAATTTAGTATTTTTTTATTTATTAAATTATAGATATGTTTTTTTAAAAGATTTGAAAAAAAATGAAAACAAAAATAAGAAACTCAAGTAAGTAGACTTATTGAAAATGAAAACCTGAAGAAATATGATAGATACAACATCTTGAAATATAATATTTTTAATTTATTAAAATTGATAAAATTTAAATATATTATTTAAAGTGTACTTAAAATTTTTATTGGTTTTTTAGATAAATTATTAGTTATATAACTCAGTAGCTCCTTAAGGAAATAAAAAATAAAAAAAATGGACAAATGATTCAGTAGTTCCTTATCAATTTTTCATCCAAACAGGTGGTAGCGCTTACGTATGCGCTTCCGTCACCCAACCAGACACTGAAAAGCGTCACTCTCTAAAATATTTATTGCGAGACACTCCCAGTCAATTTCTTTTAACGTGTTTTGGCCCCAAATATTTTTGTTATTTGTAAGAACATCCACTTTTTTTTTGCAAATTCTTTCTTTTAAAATATTTTGACTCCCTATATTTATATAAATATTAATTAATATTTTTAAAATGGGATCATATAGGAGCATTAGATATATTTATGTTTTCTTTTTTTTTTTTTAAATAAAAAAATTAGAAAATTATATCAAAACTTTAACCTATAATTAATTGTCGGTGTATTTATTTACTATTTGGAGTAATTGAATTATGAAATGTGTATATATATATATATATACACATCAAGTTCTTTGATTTGGGCTTAAGTTGGATTTAGATAATTTCGGGGGGAGCTTATTCTATTTTTAGAAATTATGGGTTCTTGGGAAGCTTCCGATTTGTAGGGATGTGATTGTTAATACACATGTTAATATGGGAAAGTCATAGGGAGGGGAGTGGTTTGGTTTGGTCAGAGTCAACGACACTATTGAAAAATACAAGATGCCAAAATTGCCCCTACATTTTTCACATATTTTCTTCCAACGCCCCAAGTCCGCCTTTGGTTTTTTTTTTTTTTATTTTTTTTATTTTTTCAATATCACTCTACAGTTTTCATTCATCCCCTCTTGTGGCTAAAAATAATTTATTCTTTCACTTTCTATAAAAAAAATTATTTTAATTTTTTTATTTTCATATATTATTTTTGTTTATAACACTATTTTTATAATGAATTATATTTATTTTAACTTTTTAGATTATTATATTTATTTAATTATTTTATGATATATTTAAATGATTTGTATTTATAAAAAATTAATGTAGGTAATAGAACATTTATAATATATTCTTTGTAAAAATAATTACTAATTTTTGATAATGTATGTATATATTTTATTTTATAATTAAACATTATATTGGACCAATTATTTTTTTGGGTACTAAAATTAAACATTTTAAAAATAAAATAAAATAAAATATTTTATAAAACGTTTAAGGTCAGACTCACTCACGTTGATTTAATATATTTAATATTTTATTTTCATAATACTACCCCCCCCCCCCCCCCCAAAATTAAATTTAGGTGGTTAAAAGAAATACTTTATAACTAATTAAACTAATTTTTGTTAATTAAATTAATCAATATTTTATACAGCACAAATAAATTTTTTTAAAAAATAAATTAGAACATTCTATTATTTTAAAACTAAATAATAATTTAGTTTCTATATTATTTATTTTTATTTAAAATAGTCATTATTTTAATTTTTTATTATGTTGATTGTTATTTTTTTTAAAAAAACTTTTAATTTAATTTATTATATAAATAAAAGTTAATACCATTAATTACGTAATATTTTCTGATAAATTATTTATTCATATTAAATACCGACAGTAAAACTGAATTAACTAATTAATATGAATGAAGATGAATAGTAGAATAATTAAATTATTATTTTAATTTTTAAAACAATAAAATATTTCTATATACAGAACTCAAATGCAGCGAAAACCAGGCAGTGGCAGTTTCGTAGATATTTGAAGAAACAAGTCGACTATCGAGATGGAGCAAATAGCCGCCGTCTTATCACCGCCAAGACTCGTCTTCTACTCTGTTCTCTCCCATTTCCCTCGCCCCAATCCCATCTCCTTTCCCGATTTCTCCCAACTCGTCGCCCAGAGAGGAAGCTGGGTGACTCCGAGCTCTCTCTCTTCCCCTCTCCCTCGTCAATTTTCATCCAAATTCAAAACCCCGAATTTCGAATATCGTGCTTCTCAAATCAACGACTTCACTCCCATTGGTGGTAGCTCGAAACCCCAATTCGACGCTCCCGTCTCCAATCGACTGAATCCTTCATCAGAAATGTTGTCTGTCTACTTCTAGGGCTCCCTAGATCTGATTTCGATCTCGTATTCGACACTCTGTACTACATCCTCATCAAGCTAATCAAAATCGCAGATATGGCTATCAGGGTTACCTTCTCCTTTTCCGGCTACGTCGCCCAGAACCTGGCCGCCACTGCCTGCTCCCGTGGTGGCAATTCCCGCTCCTTCCACGAGTGTTGGATCCGTTCCCGCTTCTTCTGCCCCAATCAGAAGCCCGACGTCGACAGACCCAGCGTTAATTGTCAGTGGACTCAGACTCAGACCCGAACCGCTTCGATGTACAGCACCTTGGCTTCGGAAATTCTCGGAGACGATTGCAAGAGCCCACTCGTCATGGGTCTGATCTCGATCATGAAGTCAACGGCCGGCGTCTCGGGTGCCTCGACTTTAGGTGTCTTTGGGATTTCTCCGTTCAAAGCCACTTCGATTATCCCATTCTTCCAGGGGTCGAAGTGGCTCCCCTCCAGTGAGCCACATACAGCATTGGAAAGCGATATTGTGGACAAAGGAGGAACACAAGGCTGTATAAGTGATAGTGAGGAGATGAATAGCTTGGGGTTCCAGTTGAATCAAAAGGATTTTGGTAGCAAGAGCCGTTGGTTTTCGAGGATATTGGATTTCTGTTCGGAGGATGCCAAAGCTGTCTTTACGGCTTTGACTGTCAGTATCCTCTTCCGGTCGTTCTTGGCAGAGCCGAGATCGATCCCTTCAGCTTCTATGTATCCTACTCTGGACGTGGGTGACCGCATTTTGGCAGAGAAGGTAAACCAATATGGTATCATTTGACCTGAATTTTATAGTTCTGGCCATGACTTTACTCTTGCTTTTGTACCTTATTCATTATTGGTGAATACTGTGGAATACTCTTATTGATCGGTTGGTGAGGAACCGTATTAATCTTCATTTTTTTCCAAAAAATTTTACCTGCTTTGACGACAAGAATAGTAGCACATCGCGAACCATAGATTGTCCTTTTATTTTAAGGAATCTTCTATGCGTGGTAAAGCCTGCGGATTAGATCAGTTCTTGAATTTCAATATTTTCATAGATTATCCTTCAATGGGATTTGAGCCAGAAGTTTGTTATTGGCAATTTAATCAGAAACACGATGCATTCATCATGATTTGAATTTCAGCTATCTAAATATCACCTTGAATGATCCTTCGTGTTTCCAGTCATTCATTTTACATGCCAAGTAAATTATTTTGACTGATCAGATAATTTTCAAATGAGAGATTTTTCTAGTGTTCTTCAATTAGGAATTTTATTGATTTCCATTGTTAAATTATATGTTAAATTTTTACCTCTGATGGAAAAGTTGTTTGATATTAGATCCATTTAGCAACTTGATTAAATTGAGGTGAAATGACAAACTGCTACTGGTTATAAATTGGATGTAAGATGGTTTGCTGCTGATGATTGACTGAGGTTTCTATTCCTTTTTTTTTTCTTTTTTTTTTTTTGTTAGGTTTCATATTTCTTCAGGAAGCCTGAGGTTTCAGATATAGTGATATTCAAGGCACCTCCGTGTTTGCAGGTATTTTAGTAATGAACTTATTAGTGTTTTTGCATAAGAAGTTCCTTCTTTCACATGCTCCTTACAGCAGTTTTCTTCTTTTGCTTGAATTCTGCAGAAATTGGGTTTCAACACAGGTGATGTATTTATAAAAAGAATTGTTGCAAAGGCTGGAGACTCTGTTGAAGTAAGCTCTTATGTTTATGTCATTGAACATATCCATAGTTTGAGGTCTTTTGTCCATGTTTCTTCCATTTGCACTATTGTTCATATCCTCTTGTCATATACCATATTTGTTTCTGGATACTGTATCTCAATGCGAGGATTGTGTTTGATAGGTTCATGATGGGAAACTGTTTGTAAATGGTGTCATACAAGATGAAGATTTCATTCTGGAGCCAGTTACTTACGACATGGAACCATTGGTACTTATATTTTTCTCTTAAAGTATATCTCAGTCATTCATTTAAATGGCCACTTTGTTGAGCCAATAGGTGAACTAAGTGTTATGTTGTGATGGTTGAACATCTACAGGTTGTGCCTGAAGGGTACGTTTTTGTTATGGGAGACAATCGCAATAACAGCTTTGACTCTCATAACTGGTAAGTATATCAGGATGTCAATTGGCAGCATCACATTTTGGTTTTGAATCTGTAGCCTTTGATGGTTTTGTCAGCTGCTGTGGCATGTTTATTTAACACTGAATTCTCAAAATTACTTGAGTGAAATTGGAAACAGATATATGTAACATATATGTTTTGGGAATAAAGATACATCTAACAATATGTTTAACCAATTTTTTCAGGGGTCCATTGCCCATCGAAAACATAGTTGGTAGATCATTGTTTCGTTATTGGCCTCCATCCAAGGTATCAGACACCATTAGTTATCCAGGTGCAGAGAAGAATGATGTAGCAGTATCATAACAGATTCATAGCCCTCTACTTGCAGAGAGATATCTTCATTCTTCTAGATAGCAAATTCGTGATTAAAACTCATGGGGTCATGGACCCGGACGCCTGTGAATGTCTTCCCTTGGAATTATATCTTTTGATGGATCATCTTGTCCATCATCACGTACCTTCATTGATGGCCTAATGCTGGCTATGACTTTTTTTTTTTTTTTTTTTTTTTATTATTATTCTTTTTTTTTGTAACTTTGACAGGGAGGAAAACCCCCCCCCCAAAAAAAAAAAAGGAAAGAGCTGATGAGACAATTTCTGTAATGGCTTGGTATTATTCTTGCTCTGATTTAGTTTTTTATTTTTATTTTTTGGTGTGATGGGGCTCAGGCATTCGAGAAGAAGAGCCTTAGAGAGGGAAATGGTGTCTGACTTGGGACTGATAATGTTGAATAAATTTCCGATACCATTTCTTCTGCTTTGTGTTCAATGTCTACGTCTTCGTTATTAAAAATTGTCAGTTGATGTCGCTGACCTTCTTTCTCTTTTCTTCAGTTGTTGATAGTCAGACATTTTCATTTATGGATGTTCTTAAAATGTTTGATTATTTTGAAGAAACTTTACCTTTAAATTTTTATTTTTATTTTAAAGTTATGAATGGGGGAGGAGCAGCAGAAAGGAAAGGGAACTGTGGGTGTTGTTTTTTGTCTTCTATTTTATGTAAAATGGATATTAGAGACCCTACTCCTGTACAGGGTGTGGGAAATAAATATTGCTAATAGAATTTTTTATTATTTGTAAAAAAAAAAAAATAAAAAATATTTTAGGAAGAGAAAATACATCTCCAACTGAAGTCCGCCACGTGGCGTTCATTTAACGAAGCAAGTAATTACAAGAGCTGGAGTCCACAGAAACAACACTATCGGGGGCATAAACTCGTTTTATTTCTCAGGGGATCAGCGATTCCTTAGTGACAGAACAGAACCATGAGGACGCCGAATACAGCCTTGACGCTCTGACACAGTCGACCGCTGAGATGAGCCGTTTCTTCTTCTCTCTTCTCCTCTTTCAGGCCTTTGCACTTACTCTCGCGTTTATTCCTCTCCAATCCCACGATCATCTCAATCATACCCACTTCTTGCAGGTACGTTTTCCCTTTTCTACTTTCACTTTTCCCTTCCTCGATCTTCATTCATCTTCTTCCAATTTATCCATTATCAGGATGTGTTGAAAGAGATAGCCACCAAGCAAAGCTGGGATTTGGATCAACTTAGCTTTTCCAAATTGCAACTCCGTAAGGTTAGGGTCGGAGTGGCTCAGGCCTATGAGTTTTGGATCCGGTTCGGAAAGAGCCAAATCGTTTTCAAGTTCCCTGTTGAAGTGGCTTCTTGGACAAATTTCAGCAACGCTGGCTTCGATTTTGGGGATTTGGTGAAGGAAGCTGGTTCCCTCGCGGTGCTTGATTCGTTTAAATTGGAGGGTCCGTTTGAGTTGCGGGTTTCTGGCGATGCTGATGATAGCCTCTCCCTATTGTTACCGGTAAGCTTCCCTTTCTTTTTTTTTTTTTTTTTTTTTTTTTTTAAATTGTAATTATCATTTTGAGTACCTTCTTCCATATTTTCTTCCTTTTCAAGTGGAAGAAAACTTCTATTTTTTTCATTTATACGCAAGTTGGCCGAGTAAAAGAATAGTTTATGAATCGATTATATGCTTAGCTATCAGTAGATAAATTTCAAGAGCGAACTTCACGATGGGCATGAGCGATGAACATTTAAAATCTTACCCCTTAATCCATACATTTCATTTGAAAAATAATGCTAATGTTAATGGTTTAATTGGTGCAAACTTTTGTGGTTTTCACTTCGCATTTTTGGTAGGGTTTGATGTTCTTTGGTGCTCCCTATATATTTCTATTTCCTTCTAAGATTAGCTTTCCATTTTCATTTTTCCTGCGTTGGCAAGTTCTACAAACTGGAACCCGCTTCTATTTTTTGTATAAACTATCACTTGTAAAAGTAGGTTCTGTTAGAAAAGAAAAAAAGCATTATGAACTGTAACGTGATTACTTTGGCCTCTTAGTGTGTTTGCTTTAATCTTGATCTTGCTCTATTGAGAGGATAAGAGAAAAAAACTACTTCTGTAACACTTCCAATATGTTTTGTTGGATTTAATGAATTTCTAATGGAATGCAATACAGTTATTTTTGTTATTCAGTATAATGTCATTGGTTATATAGTTCAGAGGCTGTTATCATTATTACATTACAAGTTTGATTATGTAGGTATGTAATTAAAACAAACAAGGTGATCAATTTTGGTTGTAAAGCTTCTTGCATTAGGTTAGTTATTAAAAGGAATCAAACGTGTAGTAAGGTTGAAGAGACGGGTAAAACTTCAAAAGGAGTCTGCATTCTGTGTATGCCTTAAATTATCCTATGTGATCTTCCCACCTTAGTTCTGGAAAAGCTTCTGAGAGAAGTCCGAAAGAAGTTTCAATTCAATCAATTTTTTAACATTTTTTAATCTTACATAGACTTTTTTTCTTTTGCAATATTAGAATGATGAAGAAATCTAATTTGTTGACAATGGATATAATACTATCTTTTAGTTTGTACAAAAAATGTTACCTTGTTCTGGGTGTTTTTATTGAATTTCATGATTTCTGCTTCTTTTTTCTCAGATGAAGTTGTTTCTCATCTACTGACAGTCCTGTGCTATTTTTATTTTTGGTAATCAGATGAATACTTCGTTCACTGGACTGAAAACAATCCGTGTAGGTGAAGGCATCTCCGTGGAAGTAGTAAGAGCTCGAGAAGTCTCAGTATTTTACACATTGGATCTTGGCTTATCATTGAATAAGGGTGTCGTCTATTACGATGGGATAAGTGGATTTTGGTCCTTTTGGCAGTCCCTATGCATGCCATTACTACCCATACGAATTTCAGGGTCAGCATCACTTGTTGCCTATCAGACTCGGAACCCTGATTCCTACATTGAAACCACTTCCTTATCTGAGGAGGCAATTGAATTGCTGTCAGAAAAGTGTCACAGTCACCGAGCGTATAAGCAGGTACCATTAATTGATTCCTTAGCTCTGAGAATTGGTAGGTTGGAAAAAATTTTGAAAAGTTCTATGGTTGATAGAACAAATAAAAGAAAGTTATTGGGTTTTCTCAACGCCAAACTTAAGGCATCAACCATTGTCCGGTTCCAATTAGAATTGGAAAGAAATAGGAGCAATGATGAACAGACGGATTGGAGAACAAGGCCTAGAGTCGAACGACTTTGGTTCGAGGTAATGGCAAGAATTGAAGGCCAAAAGTTGATGCCTCTCATGGTTAAGAAGGTAACACCTTTTGTTGGAGTAGATTCAGCTGCATGGAGTAGTTTAATGTCAAATATTTCTTTTACAAAGTTCCCGTCCATCCTTGTCCCGCAAGAGGCTTTGACACTAGATGTCAAATGGTAGGAAGGAAGTTTGTAAAATACATGTGTATGAATATTTAGATTTCATTTTCGTTTCTTTGGATTATCGGCTGCCTACTGCATTTGAATCATGAGGAGCAATCTTTGACAGCTACTGTAAATAATTCTATAATGAAAATGAAATAGAGAAAGAACAGAAGATAGATTCTTTTTTTTTATCTCTTGAGCAGCCAAAACTTCTGAGGTGGTCTCTGCACATTTCTAAGTCCAACTCAAATTCAATTATATAAGATCAAGTTCAAGAAATATGTTAAAAAATTATTTAACATCTTATTTGTATGTTTATTATACAATTAAAATATGATTATTTTTAAAATATTTTTATATATTTTACTTTTTTTTTTGGTTGCAAAATTGGAATATATAAAATATATTTAATTTCTTAATAAATAAGTAAACCCAATTGAGAAACACTCACATTTTGGATTGTTAAAAGTTATATATCCCATCACTGGCTGATACTTCCAGAGACATTCCCCGTGGCCTTCATAGAATTCTTCAACTACACGCGGCCTTTCCCGTAAAAGTAACTCTTCCATCGTCATCATTTCTTCCCCGCCAACCCCCCTTTGTCCTCCAAGTCTCTCTCTTCTCTCCTC